CCCCAAAACCCCAAAACCCCAAAACCCCGAAGAGAGTCTTTGTAGAATTATTTGGCATACGATGAATATAAAGGAGAATAATTTATGATAAGATTTAACCTAAGTTTTATTGATTTAAGATTCTTACTTTCGTTCAAATATCAGAACTTTCCTTAACAGCTTAAGCGAAACCAAGCATTTAATTTAATCATCTGAGTGTAACTAAGTGGTCTTCCCCTTATTGCTTATTGAAACAAAATAGAGACATGATGTGTAACAAAATAAAATTTCCATTCATAACAGGTTTCCACGGAATTTTCGAAGCTTTAAAATACTTTTGAACAAGGCTAGAAATATATGATATTAGTAATGATAATTCGTAAAAATCTCCTTTCACACGATTAGTCCTTACCACAAAGATCAACCATGTGATGGAAACTGGGGAAACTAAGGAACTGAGAATATCTAGGTATGTACACTTATTAAATTACCTAGATTCAAGAATATGACCTTTAAAAGATTATAGTTTTAAAATGTAAATAAACAATTCAGATACCCAAAAGGCATCCTCAAAAAAGAACGAATCAGTTTGCAGCATGTTAAGCACCAAGAGCGAAATTACAGAGTAGCAGTTTGACTCGAGCAAGTAAATGATGAATGATGACTCAATTGAGTAAAAATTGAGTGCGTTTTAGGGCTCTATAGATGAAGACTCAGAAATCAAGGATTAGAAAGAGGAGGATTTCATTTTAAATGTCTTGCCCTTAAGAGAACTATAAGAAAAGGAAAAATAATTATGTCTGCATTCTTAGATTTTTATCCGAAAATACTCCTCGTGCATTAAGAAAAAGATACTTCTGAACGCCCTTAACATGACTCTAGTTAGGCAAGGCAAGGGCATTAGTCTCCAGCAGCAAACTCAAACAGCCGAAGATCAATCCTATTAGACGGAATTCTTAGTATTGATTAATTAAGGGAAGTACCCTTAACCTATGGTAGAATTAACAGCTCCTATCTACTCTTAACTAATCATGTAGCACCCAGAATTCCAGTTACTTATGCTACACGAACACCCTCTTATTCTAGAATACTTCTCTGATAACATTCAGCTTCTTTACTGGCTCGATAGGTTGAGGCCTATAATTTAAAAGGAATGGAGTCAGCATTAAGAGGTGAAGCCGTGCTATATTCAACAAGACAATAACAATGAGGTATTTGTGAGCAAGAAATACCCTCATTTTTGCTGGCATAAAGCTAAAAGACTACTGTCAATGAGTATTCTAGAAATGCAGGCAGATATGGTTCAAAATCCAAACTAAAATGGTGCCTAAGCTAGTCAATACGAATCGTAGTATATAGCAGAATCTATAGGACTCATAAAAGAACAAAAGGGAATCTCAAAGTTAAAAATTTCAAAGGCGATGAGATAGGTGAAAGATTCTAAGGGTTTGAAGAAATTGAAAAAATTGCCAGAGATGTTAACTATGGGTCTTAACCAAGTATAATTTTCAGATGACTGTCACTTTAAAAGGGAGCAAGATCAATTAAACCCTTCTCTATAGAATTAACTCATTCCGTTTACTATTGATTAAGATACAATACTCTAATCATCAAATAATAGTAAATAGCAAGGAATAAAGAAAAGAGTTGAGAAAAAAGAATAATTTTTAGTATGCTCTTATTGCAAGGGTGTCTATCATTTGTGCTGTATTGTTACCTAGCATAGATGGAACTTTACAAAAGAGTAGAATACAGCTTAGCATCTAAAAGGCCAAGATTTTTCTAAAAAGAGAAATATTAATATAGTCACTAAAGATGAATTAGAATTAGACAGTAAAGAACAGGCAAAACTAAAAAGAGGCAGAAAGAGAAAGAGTCCTACCTAGCTCGATGACCTCTACTAGGACATTTAGTCTAATCCTTCATGTCAGTAAATACCCTAATCAGAGAGGAAGCAGTCAATTGTCAAAGGTAATTTAAGTAGCACTAACTAAAAGGCTTCTAATTTGAAATAGCTGGATGATATGACTAAAGACGAAGTTAGTTAATTCTTAACAAGAATCGGATACTCTGGTGAAAAAGGCTGTAAATGGGCTTGCAAGAACTGTATATTCGGATTTTTGATTGATCATCTTTCCTCAGGTGGAGATCCTAGATTTGCCAATGAAGTAGCTCAAACCGACCTCCGCATAGAATAAATTTAATCACCAGAAAAGAGTTAGATTATAGATAAGGCAAACTACAAATAGAAAAAGTAATGATTGATATACGAAAAAATGTTTGTAAAGTAAACTAAATAGATAGTCTAACTGAGCATAATCACTTATTTAATCTCTATATTATCTCTAACATAGATTTAAATTCACTCAATTCACCCTTTAGTTAATCTTGCCCATTTAATATTATACCCAAATTTCTCACACTCACTCTGAATTTTCTTATTCCACTTCATGGGGTTTTGGGGTTTTGGGGTTTTGGGGTTTTGGGG